TATGAAACACATGTGAATGAAATTAAATTATATTCCAGTTTTAAATGTGCTTCTGATTACAGATAGCCTGGGATTACACAAGATTTGTATTTTAAAGACAACCAGTTCGAAGGGAGCATAATTAGCTTTTTAGTTAAAATAATTTCTTAATATGAAATTCGAGTGGTATGACAATTAGAGTTTAGACTGTAGTTCAGAAATTGAAATCTACTCGCTTATACACACTATACTCATAGTCACGCAATGCTGATGTTGTTAACATTAGCAATTTGAAAATAAAGTATAACAATAATAATCATTTGCACGTTTTGATGTGATATGAGCTCATTTAGATTTAATCACCATTGGTAGCGTTATTTATTGTAATGCTTTTTTCCTCAGTTGGCCAGAACAAACGTGGCAGACTTGTTACTTACTTGTTCAGATGGCTTAAAATTGATAACCCGTTAAATTTCTTTGCCCAATCTGAAGCATTTAAAAAAAAAATCACTGTGTTTCTTGTATTATTAAAACATCATTTTTTTTTTTGCATCATCTCAAACATTTGTGCTCTTTTCCGACTTTCTCTTGCTTCATTAATATTTAAAGAAGCTAAATTTACTACTCCCATAAATAGAAAAGTAGACCCCCCAACAAAACAAAGAAAGCGAACACAATGCAGAATGACGACCTTTATCCATTCTGAAAACGTGATTTGTGAAATTTTGGGGGGTCTCAAAAAATATTGACAATGTGTTATTTTGACGTGCAATTTCAGTTTTGTGTAATGTGATCATCGTGGATTATTATGTGTAAAATTGCAAAAATATAATTAATTCATGCATGACGGCGATTTAAACCTAATTCACTTCAATAAAGATAAATATACATGCTATTCTTGTCATGAGCATCAAGGTGTACATGTAGTAGGCTACATGTTAACTCAAAGATTCGTAGAAAAAATAAGGTACTGGTTGCCTAAACAACAATGCATGGTAGCAATTAACACAAGTTCAAGTAAATGAGTAATCAAAAAAAAAGTTTATTAGAGAGGAAATATTACATGTATGCTGTGTATGTTTTTAATGTGTGGATAGTGTGCATAGAACAGCATGTCAGTGAACATGTCAGAACATAATAACATTAACTATGTCTAGTGTAACAAGTAAAATAACAAGTATGTGTTGGTGGTTTACATAGAATGTGTGTGTGTGTGTGTGTGTGTGTAAAGAGGTCCAGTCAGGAGGTCCACTTGAACATTTCTGCAAGAAAAGGAGAGACAAGTAAAGTCATCTCAGTTTACTTAAATGCAACATCACCATTATTCACAATAAATAAATAAATAAATGAGATCTCTAAACTCACATTTAAACTCTGCCTCAAAAATTAGCTGGTGGATTTTCAGCTTGGTGAGTTCCCTGCATTTAGGCTCAAGTCTCTTCAGGGCTGGCATCAAATTCTGCTGGCATCAAATTCCAGCAGGGGCAGCACAGTTGGAGGTTTCTATTGCCTCAACGATTTTCCGCTCAAAAGAAGACACGGATGCTGCTTCAATTCTTCTCCGGCGTTGTCGTGGCTGGGCAAAGTATTTTGCACTCTGCCTCTTTCTGCTCTCCTCCTCTCCAGCCATGTCCTCTACCACACAGTCCATCCTACTTTCTTCTGCACTGATCTCTACGCTGTTTCTTATTTCTGTCATGTCCTTTCCTACCTGCATTTCTTGTCTTTCCTCTGTTATTACTTCTGCACTGTCTTCCTCATTTCTTCTCCCTTCTCCTCTTTCCTCCTCCATGTTCCCAGATGTGGGCCGAGAAGAAACAAATGGAAGGAGGAAAGACATGATGTGATGGTAACGGCAATGGCGTTTTTGGGTGGCAGCTGCTCCACTTTTTCTTTTCTTCTCCTCTCTCCTTTCCCTGACATAAACGTCACGGAGATCCCTCCACTTTTTCCTGCACTCATCCACTGTTAAGTTTAAAAACAATTACATAACTTTGTAAATCATGTTAACTTAGACATACTATTCTTTGATATGTCATTTCAGTGTTGGGTAAATTACTCTAAAAAACAGTGTAATTAGATTACTGTATTAATTACTCTCACTAAAATGTATTGCATTACTAATTACTTCTTAAATCCCACATCAACCTCCACCAGTTGAACAATACAAGGATAGACATGAAACTGCTCTTTTCATTCGTTCAAATAAATAATATACAATTGCATACATTTTTTTTCTCAATAAATTTGTAAAATGTCGTGTCCGAATGTCGTGTGCAGTGGAAAGGCAGCTTAAGGGGCCGTTCACATATCGCGTCTTTTGCGCTCTCAAGTTCGTTATTTCAAATGTAGACGCGCCGCAGGCGCGCTCATAATGGAAGCGACGCGGTCGCGACGCGCACGCGGTGCGACGCGCTCATTTTTTCCAGGCGCGACCGCGCCGCATCGAGATAAACACATTTCAACTTTTCAGAATGCCGCAAGCGCACCGCGGGTCATGTGACAATAACCAACCAATCAGCTTCATCCTTTCCCGTAACAACATTGAAAGCTCAGCCAAGATGAAGGAACAGCTGATCATAGCTGTACAGGGATAGCCATTTTTTAAATGAATTTAGTAGTAGAGCTACTGCAAGCGATTTTTAGTGCTGCAAATCCATTTACACTTTGCTGAAACTTCCGCGTCTTCATGGACAGCGAAGGTCAAAGTTGCTTAGCAACGGCAGACGCCTCCGGAGCGCAAGCGCCCGAACGCTTTGGGAAAAAGCAGAAAGCGGCGCGCCTAGCGTTTTCCACGCGTTTTTAGGCGCGATATGTGAACGGCCCCTTAGGCTTACGAAGCTTTTGGGAAACGCAGCCCAGAACATTAGATTCTTCCGCGCTGGAGCCATGCCGACTCACAACCCACGCAAGCTAGATAATTCCGCACACTGCTGCAATTCCAGGTTTTCAAACAGAGATGGCGACAAAGAGGCAAAACTTACGGACTGCAGCTTTAAGCTTTATGCACATCACGTGGTTGTCCGTTAGCATACGAGAAACTTTTTAATATGCTGTTAGTATACCTTTAATTCGCAACTCTTAGTAATTTATGAAATTAGTTAGCTAACTATCAATATGAAAATAGAATTTAATTTAAAACATTTATCAAAAATGTAGTTTATTTGTGTTTCTTCAACAGTTGTCAGGCCACGTAATTTAAATCAAAGTGTTCAAACTGTTATTTATAATGTCATAACATTCCAAGTGATATTCCTCTGGTGTTCTGTTGGATAAATGAGAATTGTATGTTGTCATTTTTTTGGCAGGGGAATGAAAGCAAGTATCTAGCATTAACAATAGGATTTTTCTACAGATAGCAGCCAACAAATAAACTTTTGTCAGTCTTGAAAAACAACAAATTGTTAAAAGTCACTCCCCCTTCATTATGTAATTTATATTCTCTATTATAAATGAATTGTAACAGACAGGAGCCATTTTCAGTCTAGCTTGCTAATAAACAATTCATTTCTGCTCATAAGTTTACATACCCCTGGCAGAAAATGCAAAATGTTAGTAATTTTAAAGGGGTCTTAACCACTGATTTCTAGTCGTGTCCTCTTTTGGAAGGCCAAACAAAGTAGTTTCACACTGCGGGCTAGAGTGAGCGGAGCCTGAGTGAGTGGCGGCGGGCTAGAGTGAAAAATTTAAATCGCATCATATGACCCCTTTAATGAAATTAGAGGGATCATGAAAATTATCATTATTATATGTTATTTAGTACTGTCTTGAATAAGCTATTTCACATAACAGATGTTTACATATACTCCAAAAGACAAAGTAATGACTGAATTTATAAAAATGACCCTATTTAAAAGCTTACATACACTTGAGTCTTAATACTGTCTATCATAGCCTGGACGATCCACTTTTTTATGTTTTGTGATAGCTGATAGTTTGTCAAGAAAAAGGCAAATTGGAGTAGAAACATAATACTGTAATTATAAAGTTAGTATTTTAACTTTATTATTATAACACAGACTTAAACCGGGTGCTAGTGTAACCCAGGTTACTAGAAGCAGACACATAAATAACATCAAATTAAATAACAGATTATATGTATGAAAAACTGTGAAAACAAAAATAAGATTGTGAACAAATTCATTAATAATGTGAAAATATGTAAAAATATAAAATATCAAAGTTATAAATGTGACCAATAGCATAATCTCTCTCTTGGTAAATTCACCAATGAGATCGTGGTTGAATGACGTCACTTGACGTCTGCCATCGTGGCACTTTTAGAGAGCAGAGAGTTTGAGATCTATTGGTGCGTTCAAGTTATGTCGGATAGATCGTATTTACGAGTTGAACGCACATGAATGCCACCACAAAGTCGTATTACGAGTGGGAAACTCGAACTTTTCTTTAAGCCCCGAGTTTCCGAGTTGGGGGCGTGTCAGTGAGAAAACGTGTCGGATGCAATGGACGCATCCAAAGACTAGATATGCAGCATCTGTATTGATGGTAAATTTGTTGAAATTAATAAAAAAATTAATTTTTTGTAATGTAAAATAAAACTACATGTTACATATACAAAATATTATATTATTGTATAATTACCAAAGAACATATAATGATTCAGTTTACATCACCTTCATAAATTGAATAAAAACAGAAAAAAGCAAAAACACAATGACGCACATTCTTTATTCATCATTTTGTAGATGTAAAGTTTAAAAAATCGTTGAATTTTATGGAAAAAAAGTAAAATCGCCATATTGTTCCGAGCAAAGTGACTTGAACGCACCTGACATCGTTATTACGACTTGTCAACTCATAAGTACGAACGTCCCAGGAGGACTTGAACGCAGCATATCTCTTCCTCGTGAGCTTCTGATGGGAGCGGATGCTAGATACTGCTTCGGGAGATTCAACGCTCCAAAACGAGAGAGAAATTAAGTAAGAGTTGTTTAAAGTGTCTTTAAACTGTTAAACTGATGATGATATATATGGAAAAAAATATTAGCGGCTAAAACAAGCGGAGGTGATATGATAGTTCACATTGTGTGTTATCCCGATGTTAATGATGCAATCTAAGCGTTAGCATAAAGCTAATATAACATGTGGTGCATATGTCTCTAACCAAGGGGTCAGAGAAGCTGAATGCAATTGAGAGTGATGTCTTGAAGTGGGTTTCATCTGCAAATGTCCTGGTTCATTTGATGTACATGTTGAGTTCTTTGGTGAGTTAATGTTTTTTTTTTCTTTATTGATTGTTATTTCAATACCATCAAAATTAATTGTGTTTTATCAAATGGTGCAATATTAATGACGAATATGCCTTAATGTGTGAAATGTGAACAAAAATGCTGTTGTTTATGAGAAAGAAGTACAAATGTGCAATTGTATGACAAACAAAAAGATATACAAGGAAGTACACGACAATTAGGAATAACTTCTTTATTGTTATAGAGAAATAATACATAGAAAGACAATTTATCACACCGAGTATGTAAATGAATGTTAATTGATGTGTTTTAGTTGGAGTTATGTTTATTGATGGTATTTGTTATCAAATACTAATTGTTGTTGTGGTGGCCTTGTGTCCTCAAGGCCAGGTTTTTTTTCGCTGTTCTTGTTCCATGTGAGTTCCCTTGCTGGATTTGCCCCGGATGAATCGATGGTTGTGTGAATTATTCCCGAACTGTCTCAACTCTTCCTATATCTACGATGGTGGAGTTGGACTGACGAGCCACCTGTAAACGAATCCTTTGAAACTCTTGCGTGAATCCTTCCTGTTTGGACAGACACAGAAACTGATCATCTTTAACTGGTAGGATTGAAATTGCACGGTTCATTTTGTCCTGATCTGGAGTAAAGCCTAAAGACTGAGATTAACATCAAATAATTTACGTTTGGGACTGAGTTTATAAACTGATTTTTGATTCCTCCTTGAGGACATTGAGGACTTTGGGAAATTTGGATATTTTCATTCAGAGAAAATGTCATTTTGTTTTATTTGTTGATTATCCTTTTTTTTTCTCTGTCTGTGTTGATTATATGGTTTAAAGGTTGACTCAAATTAGATATCATTCAAAAACATTTAAGAACGGGTCACTTTAGAAAAAAAAAAGAACATTTAATTAGATGTTTCAGTACCAAATGCTTTAAGCAATTTCCACATTAGCATGAATTATCAACTAAAAGATAAAAGGAAGTAGAAATATCAACTTACCAACAAGGTGAAACCCTATAAGGAAGCAAAGGGGTGTAAGTAACAACACTGAGTACAAACATTTCTGAGTCTTTGAATTAAATTTTTGTGAATGTAAATTTATTTTCTACTATTCACTGTTACAATACAAATCAAATCTTGTTCTTACCTCAAATCTTGTCTGAGTCTGTTCACTGCTGCTGCATCATCTCTCTCCTCGGACGAACCAAATCTTTTGAGCTCACTGGTCCATTGTCAGAGTTGACCCAAAATTGGTATCGCGTGTAACGGGTTACACTTGCCTGTGCGTAATCAAACTCAGTCAATGACGGAAAATTTCTGATAACACGACCTCTGCCTTGCACGCCTACTCCCGGAGCCTTCTCCAAATCCGTAAAACAAATGTAGATTGCAGAAGCAAACCATGCCCTCTCCAGGATGACAGGTCCACTGTTCCATGTCCAAGACAGAATCATAGAACACAATCAGAACCTTCCCCGCCATGACACAGAGTCGCAGTGAGGCGATCCTCTCGTCTACCGGGCTCCAATTGCCCCGAGATGGGGACTTTTGAGAAGTCCCACCCACGCTCAACACCTCTCACCCTTAGTGAATCCAGAGAAGGACCCCTATCCAGATGTTTGGTTGCAGAGACAGAGCTGGGCGTAGAAGTAATGCCAACGATATCTAGCTGGTTACACTCAACCTCCCGCACTGACTTCAGCTTCTTCCCCACCAGAGAGGTCACACTCCATGTACCAAACGCTAGTTTCCGCAACCAAGGTCCAGTCCGCACGCCCCCCCCCCCAGAGGATTACAGTGTTGGTAATGACCTTATTTAACATATTACAGCAGTTTCTTAGTCCTCTGTCAAAATACTTTTACTACCTCTCTTAGACAGTCATTCTACAAAAATACAGTACATGTAAGAAGCATTTGGCTACAAATCAATTTAACCGCTATGAGTTTGAGGGTGTACAACGTGCTGCAGTGTTTACTGTATATAGAATAGTGAAAGTTCTCTCATCTAAAGCTGCTACTATGTACTGTAATTATACTGAATGTGTAAGTAGGTAGGTAAGTAGCAACTACAGCTAAAAAACCCTATAGAAGACCCTGTAGGCCAATTTCCCTCCTTGGTGATTCCATGCACTAGAACATGGTCAACTATAGGAACAAATGTCCTTTGACCCCGTCCCCTTAATTTTTCTTCCCCTCCTCTTCCCTCTTTGTCTTCCAACATTTCCAAATCACATAATCACCTGTGCTCATATTTTATTATCCTGAGATTCTGACTGGTGTCATCCGTTTTGCTACTTAATGTTTACACATGGATAGGGCTGCTCCGATTAATCGGCTACCGATCGCTATCTGCCGATAATCGCTTTGGGAAGTTTGATCGGGCTCTATAAAGGCCAATCTTATAAACCTATCTCAAGCTGACGACGTGCCTGCTGTGAGAGGTTTTGCATGACTTTCAGCAGCACCATCTCAGTCTCTGTCCGGAGCGGCTAAAATAATTATAGTGCTGAAGGTGAGGTACAAATCATATTTCTTTATTAAATAACTTTCTGTGAGATGTAATTTCACAAACGGTGTGAGTGAATCCCAGGGCGTGCTCTCTCTTTCCATCTCAAAATGTGCAAATGGCTTCATGCGTGTGTACTATAAGTTACTAAAGTTTATAATTTGCATTACTTTTTAAGTCTTGCCAGTGTTTAAACCATTCAGCACTCACGCGCACACACTCACAGCACTCACATACACTCAAAAAAATGATTCAGGGGACCTGTTACCACAACTTAAATAAATGCATCATTGCAATTCAAAAATTCTAATTGAATAATTTAATTAAACCTTTTAAGTTGCAAATATTATTTTGTGAGTTCAATTGACATAATAATGTTGATCATTACATTAACTTAATATTGTGTGTAATTTAAACTCAAATTTATGCGTAAATTGAATTTCTTAAAATATAAGTTGTAGTAACTCAATAAAATTGTCTTATTAACTTTGGAAATTGGGTAGTGGATTTCTAGTCCCCACCATGCTTTGCATAGGACCGGATAAGGAGAGTAAATGTTGAAATTAAGTGTTATTTTGTGTTTTTTTTTTTTAGTAAAGGGAAAGGCCTATCAGTGTTTAATGCTGTTATGTTTGACATTTAAAAGAGTTTCTGTTATGCTGAAGTATTTATGGTTACCATTGCTGAATAGACCACATGAAGGTAAACACTACATTGACTCTATTAGCAATGACTGTGCTAATGCCAGTGACAAGTAACATCTAACCTGTTCATTAAATATACATGCGAAATAAATTACCTTTAGTTTGTGCTATGAAAGCTGTGGATTTAAATTGAAAAAAAAAAACGTAATATAAATTGGTTCCAGGCCGACAAATCCATTAGTTGGAGCAACTTAATTTTTTTGAGTAATTAACTTAAAAATATGTTTGTTACAAAATGCACTGCATGATCAAACATTTAAGTGAGATACGTATATATTTTTGAAAACTGTCTAAAACTGCCCACCTCCACCCCTCAAATAAAAAAAATCCCCCCCATAAGAGTCACCTAAGAGGGGAATTCCCCCCATTTTCAAAAATGAAATTCAGGCCCTGAATTGATGTCCGTAAAATCCTGATTGGAGCATCGCTATAAATAATTCTACATGATAAAAAGAAGGCTTCAAAAAGACTAGTATCGGTGATCGTATCGGCAGATACTGCTTCCTGTGATCAACGATCATTATCGGCTCCAAAATTCCTGATCGAAGCACCCTTACACATGGATAAATGTCTGCTATTTGAGTTTAGATTGTGATGCTTGAAGTAATTATATGGTGTATTTGTGTTTTCTGAATAAGAACGTGGTTAAACCTGTGCAAAATAGGGGCATTTTGTGTAGAGTTTTGCAGATAACATTGAGCAAATTGGAATGTGTGTGAAAACTTGCGAAATGTGTTAAGTTTTTAGAAATGTTGTTTTCGAGAACTGAATAAATGGTTTGGAAAATTGGGCTAAATTAATCAGTTATAGAATGTTAGCAATTAAGAAAAATTTTATTATTGTTTAACCCTTTAGGCGCCAGGTTTTTTTTTTTGAACAAATGCTGGATTTTGACATCAAGATTTCAAAAGCTTGTAGCTTGAAAGGGCTTAAAGATAGAGATCTACTGTAAATTAGAAAAATGTTGGGCATGACCGAAAGTTTATGTGGGGTGTAAATATACTCATCTAATTTGCATATGACGTCATCAGGGGCGGCCATCTTGAATTTCATAATATTCAGGAAATAGTAGATATTGAATTGATGTTTGAACTTATTTGCATTTTGTTGTTTTTTTGTCTTTTTATCATCATTCCACATGATCAGAAAAGAGGAAACCAACAATAAAACAGGAGAAAGTACTAAATTATTACTATATTACTATACTATATAGTAGTAAAACGCATGTGAACAGTAGCCTACTTTTTGATCAGTTCATCAGTAATATTCAGGAAAAAATATATATGGAGTGGATGTTTGAACTTATTTGCATGTGTGTTTGTTTTTTTGTCTTTTTATCCTCATTCCAAATGATCAGAAAAGAGGAAACCAACAATAAAACAGGAGAAAGTACTAAATTACCAACAGGCTCATCAAAGCGTTTGATCCAGTCCTGATACTTTTTTGTTTTTTTTTTGTCTTTTTATCCTCATTCCAAATGATCATGAAAAGAGGAAATCAACAGTAAAACTATTAGTTACTATAGTGAATTATTACTATATTACTGTGCCATAGTAAAATGCATGTGCCTATTTTTTGATCAGTTGACCAGCTATCTGCCCAATCAGGTATCTAGGTGACAAAGTTTATAGTTCTTGAGAGTATGGTACCTCTCATTGCATGGCACAGCGCACAGACCTACCCCACACTGACTGCACCTGTACTTTGTAAGGGTGCAGCACTGGTCAAATCTTTCTCTCCTAGATAACCAACAGGCTCATCAAAGCGTTTGATCCAGTCCTGATACACTTCTTCATTTCTCAAAAAAAAAACAACCACCATTGTCATCGCTATTTCCAGCCCTATTTAGAGCCAGATCACCCCTGCTGCCTCTACCACGTCTCCCGGCTCTCCCACGCACAGCACGGCCACGTTCACCCCTGCCACCCCCATTCCCAGTTGGGCAAAGTGTCGAAATGATCGCTTGTTCGTGCTTTGTGAACACTCGCGCCTTGCACGGCGGCTTTGGTTTGAGTTTGTTCTTAAGTGATTTTACGCTGTTAATTTGATTATCTGAGATCTCTTACTTGCACAACCAGCTGGAACCTGTCTGACTCTCAGTGGTCAAATTATCTAATTGACAAAATTGACGTCAAGAAAAAAAAGGTAAAAAAAAAAAAAAGCAAATCAAATTGATGTCAAAAACTTGACATAACATTGATTTGATGTAAATTGAATGTCCAACATATTGGCCTACATGCACATTAATCTAATTTCAGTGTCAAGTCAAGTCACCTTTATTTGTATAGCACTTTATACAATACTGGTTGTGTCAAAGCAGCTTTACAGTGTTAAACAGGAAAATAGATTGTCAATAATGCAAGAAGGCAATAACAGTCATTTTTTCCAGCTAAAGTCAGTTCATTGATAATTCAGTGATGTCATCATCCAGTTCAGCTCTCTTCCAATAGTGTCTGTGCAATCAGTCAAGCATCCCAAATTAAGCATGCCAAAGGCGACAGTGGCAAGGAACCAAAACTCCATCGGTGACAGAAATGGAGAAAAAACCTTAGGAGAAAGCAGGCTCAGTCAGGGGGCCAGTTCTCCTCTGGCCAGATGACACCAGCATGGTGTGGTTTAATTCCAGCCTGCAACACAGGTGAAGAGGACTTGTCTGATTCCCCTGGTCTTGTGCCGATGGTTGTCGAGGTGAAGAGGTCTTTGCAGGGGATCTGTTTCTGGGGCGCATCTAGTTGACATGGTCTCTGCTGACATTCAGGGCTGTCTCTAAGTGCTGATCCACCATCAGGTCTGGATACAGGCTGGATCCGTATGGCTATGGTGTCCTCGGAATAAGAATGAAAGAGACTAATATTAGCGTAGATGCCATTCTTCTTACGATGTAGCGAGTACATCGGATGTTATGGGAAGTGTTCCCGGTTCCGGTTCACCTAAT